TAATCTTAGGAGCTGTACTCGAAGTAGTAAAGGAGAGAAGAGAAACTCTGAAATGCAGTGAATGTCGAACTGAACTGCTCAGTCGACAGTACTATCATTTATATTATGATGTAGTACAATGATACAGGAAGTTACTGGAATGCCCCTGATTAGTGATGGGACACCCAGACAACTTAAAACATTAAACAGGATTAGGCCCATTAACATAGGCCCAGTACAGGACAACTAAAACTTAAGTATAGGCTAATAAGAACTCTTATCAGCCGAATACTCATACATACAAAGACTTCAATCCAACATTGTAGTCCCTACATGAAAGAGAATGGAAGCAAGGGGAAGGTTATTTTTTGGAGAGGAATAAGGTAGGAGGGAAAATGATGTTGTCCCCACGTTCTATGAGAGAGAACAAAGGCAGGAGGGAGGTGGTGCAAATTTTGCACGAGTCTTTTAGATGCAAAATTCACACTACCAATGAGTACAAATGAAACAATAAATGTAAATTTTACACCAGGTAGAAGTGCAAACCATAGTTACATACAAATGGATGCAAAACTGAACCTAGCACAAAATTTTATCGAGTTCAGGTTTGCACTGTAAACAAAAGGAACCTTGTGAATTTCTAATAGATTTTAAATTCTTATGTAAAAACTTTTGTATGACAAATTGGGTAACTACTTCTTATGCTTATAAGATTTTAGCCTATTAGTACTAGTTAGGAAGAATGATTTCTAGTTTGCTACACAATGGAATAAATGTACACATGTTTATTGACTAAAAAATGTTTTCATTAGGATTAAAGAAATGCACAATTATATAACTGTAATCACCACAGTAATGTAGCATGGTAAATGAATACTGAAAAGACAAAATGTATATGAATCATCTATAAAAGTATAATCAGCATAATGCTGAAGGTGTCATTATCAATTTATCATTACAGGTACCTATAGTAAGGAAGACAGGTGGCCTTGCAGACACAATATTTGACATAGATGATCAATCAAATCAGGATATGGCAAATGGGTATTATTGGAATTCTTTATTTCCATTAATGGAAAATGAAATTTGCATTTATTGATTCTTTCGTTTTCCTATTAACTGCAATTTTTATACCATACAAAGGAAATGTGCATGTGACCAAGATTTTTGCTAGACTGAAATTGGGCCTGGCAGGAGCAGGACCTACAAAACATTTTAGATGGGTATATAGGAGAAAAAGATCAAGAGATAATGGGGCGTATGTTTTAGAGCATGGGGGACTCTGAGACAGTCTCAGTCTTCATTGTCCCCATTGCTGAAAGAGCATCAGCAAAAACACTTCACGTGGAGGTGAGCCCAATTCTGAGGTGAGACAGTCAATGCAAAAGGAAAATAGTAATGTTGGGGAGTCAAGTGAAGGGGGCTCTCCAGAAAATAGTGGATAGAGAGGTTGCAATTGGGAAGAGCATAGGTCTGTTTTATTGGGGTGGAGAGGGGTTTGCTAAAAAGGCTTTTGACGAGTTTGAAAGGAGAAGAAAGGAAGAGAAGTTGAATAAAGATGATCGTCGAAAAAAAGACAAGGTATGGGATGAAGAGACTGAAATTAGAGAAGACTTGTCCACAGAGATTCTTTGAAGCCACGGTGCACCAAGGAGGGGCTGGTTTGTGTTTGCTTTTTTTTTCTGTTTTATTTGAAGGGTGTCAGGCTTTTCTTTTTTAGGGGTTAGGATGGGGTTCCTCTCTGTTTTCTCAGTTAGGTTTTGATTTGGGGTTTTTTGGATTTCATTTAGCTGTCTGAATTTGGGGTCTCAATGGGTCTTTGAGACTTGATTGTCTTCTCTCGGTGACGTCTTATCACCTCCCTGTTGTTTCTCTTTTGTTTTTAATAAATTTTATCTTTATTATTCAAAAATAAGAGAATAGGGTGGCACACTCTTACCAATCCATAAAATTGATATTTATATTAGGGTTACAATAGTACATGAGATGACCATCTTACCCCCATTAGTGTACAATAATATTACTTAAAATAAGAAATGCCCAGGCCCACTAACCACTTAATAATAGTAATACATAACAGAACAAAGTATACATAACATAAATGGGTTGAAGCCCTTACTATTAAGTCCCACAACAAACCTTTGATACATCCCTCTATCCCTAAAATGTTCCCCAGAAATGGCATTCAACTTGTTCTGATTAACCAGTGTGTCTACAATCCTTAAAATGTTCCCCAGAAATGGCATAAAAGTGAAGGTTGCTTATTGGGCGAAGACCCTGGATTGCTTTCAGAGTTTCTCAGTCACTGACATTCTACAGGCTTGGAGTGAGGTAGCATGGTCCTCTAGAAAAAAAAAAGAAAGAATAAGCACCGGAAGGCAGCAAAGTAAAACTGAACTTTGATAGAAGCTCATCGGGGAACCCAGGTTTGGCAGGAATAGGTAGTGCAATCAAAAATACAGAGGGTAGAATTTTTGCTTTGTATCCTGGGCCAATTGGTACTGCAAACTCTACAAAAGCTGAATTGTTGGCACTGCTGCAAAGTCTACACCTAGCAAAGCAACTGGGTTTTAGACAGGTAGAAGTGGAAGAGGATTCAAAAGTAATTGTCTCGTGGGCAAGCAGTAATAGAAATATCCCTTGGACTCTCAAACATGTTTTCAGGGTAATGGAAGTTATAGCAAGGGATGTAAATGCTGAAGTCAAGTGGGTAAGGAGTGCAAATGGGTTAGCTGACTCCCTTGCTAAACAAGGGCTACAAGACAGCAGTTATTTTGGGCTTCTTTGTAAATGGGCTTTTGATATTTGGGGTGACATGTTGTCATAGAGTTGTACTTTCCTCATTTAAAATGCTTTAATAAAGTAATTTTTGCTAATCAAATATATATATATATACATCATCTTTTCTCTCTAACATCTAAAAATTCAGCTTTTGTAAATCTTTGTTTACTGTCATCTTCACCCCATTTTTGTTATTAACCCCTCCTCTACAGCACAGTTTATATTCATTGATTTCCTTGGCCTTTTTTCCTTTCAATTCCATCATCTGTAAACAAACTGTATTAGTTCATCTTTCTTTCATTGTATCTACTAATTCTATGCTCTTACTAGTCAAAGTTTCAACATTCAATGTTGCTAAAAGTATCTTTCTCTTGGACTGATTTCTTTACCTGCACTTGTCCATTAAAGTGCAAAAATCCTTGATCACTTATTTGTTTACTCATTTGCCATTGCACCTGGTACAGTGGTACCAATGCAGCACATCGTCATTCAGAATGCCCTAACATTGCACTAAGAATGCAGGCTTCATATTTATATTAGATTGGATAAAGGTTTTTATGTCAGCAACCAATGTAATCCTCTCAGTATAATACAAGCTTAAATGGCAGTGTGATGGAGCTGTCGTTAATAACAGAACTGTGAATGGCCCATTTAGACCCATTAAACAAGTGTATAACCGGGGACCTCGCAAGATGGCCCACTTTGGCTGAAAAGGGGGTAACCGGCATCTATAAATAGCCCATGAAATAACGAGAAAGGATCAAGCCATTTCCAGAATCTCTCTCTCTCTCTCTCTCTCTCTTCTGATTTCAGGAGGCAGAGTCTCCCTCGAAGAAGACTCCTGTGTGAGCAGGCTCTCATCACGGTGTTTCATTTAACCATATTAATGTTACACATGGAACTTCCACTTTTCTCAAATTATGAAAGCACCATATATCGTATTGATCCATGTGCTCCATCAATGGGGATGTAGACTAACACCATCTGAGCATGCTATTCACCAAGAGTGAGAAAAATAATTCAGCAATAATAAAGAATTATCTTAGCTGGGTTGACTACAGGATAACAGGAGTCCTGTTACAGCATTTGACATAAATTAGGAATTAGAACTACTACATTGAGATTTTATGACAGAAATCTTGATGCCTTAATTGTTCAGTAAAAAGCTTCCTTTATAGCTAATATGCTCTAATATTCTACCGTCTTCATTTATGAATGCAATTTTAATCGGTGCTTTGTGCTTCTTTCTTTCCAAGTTTCATCTTTGAAGGTATTGATGAGGGATCCTTGAATGGAGCTCTAAACCGTGCATTTCATCATTACAAAGAAGGTGAGTTCGTGTTTATTCTAAAACTTGTATCTTTTGTCATAATTTGGGTAGTAGATTGGAGAAACTCCCTGCATTTGTTCAAAATAACTAATACCTTGGGAATTTTAAATTGGCATTGTTTGATCAAGGAGATATGTTATTGATATTCTTCCAAGGATTTAGTGGTACTTTAAATTCAATGTCTAATCTTTAGTAGCTCCTAACAATCAAATAAATTCCTGTAAACTGAACATTGTCCAATACCATCATATATTTGTACTGGTTAAGCAACATGGCCTTCCCAAGACATGTCCCAGTCTGTTTTTATCACCTTCAAGCATCCAAGTTGAGGGAAAGAAAGAAAAATCCATGTCAACACATCTGATGTAGAACCAACTGAACCATGCTTGTTTCAAACTTGAGCTCCTCTGTTTTATCCTGACAACCACAAAATAGAAAAGGAAACAAAAGTGAGGTGTAATTCCACTATACATCGGTCAGTCAAAATTCTTTCAGGAATAATTCTCACTTCTATCTATTTTTTGGCATTAATGCAGAACCAGATCGATGGAACACTATTGTTCGGAAGTTGTTGAAGATAGACAATAGTTGGAATAATACAGCTGGGAAGTACATCAGCGTCTACAACTCCATAAGAGTGAGATAGTAATCTGTTAAAAGCCTCATCATTTATGTTAATCCCTCCCCCAACAAAAATGGCAAAAATAGCCATAGTATTGTTGTATTTTTCTGTTGTAAATTCTATTTTAAAGCAACACTCAAAATTCAATCTAAGGGCCATCATCATCATCTAAAGCTTGTCCCAGGTTGGCTACATGAATCCAGTTCTGCCATTCTATTCTGTTCATTGCCATATCCGTTTTTAAATTATGGGTCACTAAATCATTTCTTCACTACTTAAGCAATGTTCCCTTTAGTCTGCTCCTACTCCTTTTAGCCCCCTTCAACTTGTAATAGATCACTTATTCTTGCTAGTGTTGTAAATGGTCTTTATCACCTATTGAAGCCACTCCTAGGTTTCTTCAAATAAGTTCATTTCTGACCTTATCCATTCTAGTGTTTCCACTCATCCACTTTCACATTTGTAAATGGTCCCTGCATGTGCCCAAACCATTTTAGGCTACTTTTCCTCATTTTATCACTTATTGGAGCCACTCATAGGTTTTTCAAATTTCTGACCCTATCCCTTGTTTTTCCACTCATTCATTTTCACATTTGTAAACAGTCTCTGCATGTGCCCAAACCATCTACACTAGGTGGACAATCTATTGCTGAAAGCAGATATTTGATCAATCTCCAACAGGCCCTGGATCCAGACAGGAGACTGCAACCAAGTACAAACAGGGCTATTAATGCCCCTCTTAGCCAATTCATGAGCCACGCTATTGCCATCCCTACTGATTTAGTAGAGGCTAATATTCACTAACAAGATTAAAATCATCATTCAACATCAGCAACACCACTGAACTTGCATCAAAGGATTACAGAAATGGTATTGACAGCATTTTTTGCATCACATTCAGCAACCAAGTTTGAGAAACCCAACTCCTTGGCAAAAAGTAACATTCCCTAATAGGAAAATATTCTGATTTCTGCATATTTATCTGAAGAAGCACAACAGGGCCCTTGTTTTCCAACAAAAAAAGATTCGTTAGAGTCCGTTACATGTCACTGGCCTGTTAACATCATTGGTTGCCCAAATGTTTTGTAATTATTTTATAAACTAAGCTGCAAAGGCTTATTGGCCGAAATTGAGTGGCAAATTTAGGACTTCTGCATTTTAGAATTAAGGTATAAAAGTAAGGTTTAGACCTCTACTCATCTGCTTTGCAGACATCATTCCCAACAGTGCCTCAATGCTTTTGGGGAAAAAGTTGAAAAAAACATAAAGCACAGGAGCCTTAAAAGGATGCATCTTAAAAAGAGCTCCTCTGATTTCCTCATCATTAACCTCATTGTGAATCAAGCCATTTTCAACATCTTCAATTACTCTACCCACCTGGTAAATAGGATTAGAAGTTCCACGGTATTCCTTGAAATGATCGACAATGGTTTGAGTGACTTGCTGCTGCCCTCCTCTTACACGATGGTCACATGGAAGTGTATCCGATTTCTCCTCTAATTCCTTGGCCATGGTTTGTAACTTTTTGCAAGGATCCTGTTTCACCATCTCGTCCACGGGATCTCGAATAAAAAAATCATACTTTTAAGGTGTAGAAGTCTCAGCCCAAAATATTTAAACCAAGTAATAACCCAGTGTGATGTGTGGCACGATGGTAAACCCATTCAATAGACAACTAAGCATTAATGGAAAATGGATTTACTTTTGGTGCCTAGATACGTTAACAAAGTGGCTCAGGTTGATTTCCCAAAAAATGAGTCACATGAAGTTTATCATCATAACGACAAATCAGTACTGCAGCATAGTTCAGAGAACATTAAGCTGATACATGTACACTGTTTTTTCCTAAATGCTGCAACAAGACTGCCTCACTTTTTACAAATATATCGATCCAAAAGGGGATTATAGATATTAAGTATTAATACATCCAAAGCAACAAACACTGCGCGTGAGAGAATACGAGAAGTGATGCCAATGGAACTAGGGGGAATTTAAGCAAGATTAAAACTCCAATTGTCGTGTCCCATAAATCAAAAGCCAGAAACATTAAGCGATTGTTTGTGTGGCCCGGCATTGTCATGTAGTCATGTGACAAGAGAATGAGTACACGGCTGGGAGGAAGAATCTGTAGCGAATTGCTCTTTAACAGCTCCTGGTGCTTCGGAGGCACCCCCTCTGATAGAGATTGAACCTTCCACGTTTGCTTGCAGGTCCCGCTGCCAATGCAAATGGGAGCTGGGATATGGTCTATGGAACATGCCCTTTCTGTTCTGAGGGAACCATGTCTGTGAAGGCATTCCAGATATCTGTGATGGTACTGATGGCAACGTAGGCATATCTGTCTTTCTCACAATCTGAACAAACGAAAATAGAATAACAAAGCAGAAGTCAAAAACGAAAAGCATGAATCTCAAACTCGGTTGATGAGTGTTCTTTATTCTAACAAAAAATGCCCCTTGATCAATAAGCATGACATGGGTATGCGACTATCAGTAAATAAATCTGCTGATCTTCCCACAAGATCAGTGACCAAATCAACTTCACAAAGATTAAGCATTTTCAGAAGTTTATTTAAGTTCGAAATTTATGTCCTTTCTTCTTAACCCCCTTTTTATTTTTTCAATCTATTACTTCAGAATATGCACCAGGAGTTTGTTTACCTTTAGACTCCTGGACAAAAATGAGGTCCCACTCAATGCCAATGCTCTATCGACAGACTCCTTGTCAGCAAAACTAATGTAGGCAGACCTACAATGGAACATGATAATGCATCAACTACCTGTTCACAGACTTGATCTAATAAGGAATGGCAAAGATCAACTAGTAACAGCAAAGATTAGGCTCATGGATAGGCAGTTAAACCCTTTTGGTTGGCCAGTCGCTCTGTCAACCAATATGACAACTTTGATAACCACACCACACTTGGAAAAATGCATTGACAAAGCTTCTTTTGTTGCTGCGAAATGCACCTGAAATTTTTCCAATGAACAAGCATCAGTGATTTATAATCATTCCTAGATTTACTAGCACATACCAAAAAATCTACAGCTTTTGAAATAACATCAAATAATCAAAAGCCAGATTCTTCTCCTTATTTGTAGGTTTCTTTTTCTTTCTTTAAAAAGTATTTCTTTATGTGGCAGGTCAAGACATCCAACCAAGCTGGTTCTTTCTGTTGTACATTTGCTACATGGAGTACACCATTCATAAAGATCAGATCAAGCACATCATACACTAGTTGTCTCAAATGAAATAGGTACAAGTCCTAACATTCTTACAATACTACTAGCGCTACTGAGGGGTCCAACTATGATACCGGAAAAGCATGATATCTAAAAGACCTATAACCAATCAACTGATATCATAAAAGTGGTAACCAATCAGTTTTTTTTTTATCAATAACAGTGAATTTTATTAATAAGTTGGAAAAGCTGAATTACAAGGTAAGGAGCTAAAAAATCTTAACTCCCAAATACCCCATAAACCCGAATTCATGAAACAATTACAAAACAGCCCAAAACATTGAGTTTCTGTTAACCCCTTGCCTAGTGATAAAACTCAGATTAGATGTCCATATATGTTCAGATCAGAAGAAAGAGAAGGAAAAGAGAGAGAGAAGGAGAAGGAGAAAGAGAAGAAAAAGGAGAAAAGTCACAGCCGAACTAGAGAGAAAAATCTCAAAACCTCTAGTCGGCCCTTCTTTTATTTATACTCTTCTAAGATATACAAGGATTACCATTGTGCCCTCACTCACATCAGTAGAGCAATACATATATAACTAAACATAAAAGGGCTGTACTACCCTTGTACAGCCGACTCTAACACTCCCCCTCAAGCTGGTGAGTATATGTCATATAGTCCCAGCTTGTTACATATGTAGTCCACTCTTCCCCGATTCAACCCTTTGGTAAACAGATCTGCCCATTGATTTCCTGTGTTCACATATGCTGTACTTATCACCCCACTAAGCACCTTCTCACATACAAAGTGGCAATCCACTTCTATGTGCTTCGTCCTTTCGTGAAACACTGGATTAGAGGAGAAATGAACTACAGCTTGGTTATCACAGTATAGCTTCATAGGAGTGTTAATCGAGTATCCCACCTCCTCTAGTAGATGCTTCAACCACACCAGTTCGCATGTTGTATAAGCCATAGCCCTATATTCAGCCTCTGCACTGCTTCTTGCTATCATTGTCTGCTTCTTACTCTTCCATGTCACTAAGTTCCCACCAAGAAAAGTGCAATACCCTGTAGTGGACCTTTTGTCAGATATAGACCCGGCCTAATCAGCATCCGTGTATCCCTCTATCTCAAGACTTCATCCACTCTTATACAACAAACCACGACCTGGAGCACCCTTCAAATACCTCACAATCCTTAGGACTGCCTCCCAGTGTGGGATTCTCGGATTCTGCATAAATTGACTCACTACACTGACCACAAATGAGATATCAGGTCAAGTGATGGTTAAGTAATTAAGCTTACCCACTAGCCTTCTGTACCTTCCCGGATCCTCAAACTCCTCACCTGTATCACTACCCAATCTAGCATTCAGTTCCATAGGTGTTTCAACTGGTCTGGCACCCAACAACCCTGTTTCCTCTAGCAAATCAAGAACATATTTCCTCTAGCACAGATTAATACCATTCTTGGACCTTGCAACCTCTATCCCTAGGAACTATCTTAATTTGCCAAGATCCTTTGTCTGGAAGTGATCATGCAAGTAAGTCTTCAACCTGTCAATTCCTGGTCTGTCACTGCCTGTGATAACAATGTCATCTACATATACCACCAAAAGAATCTTCCCGGCATTTGATTCATAACTGAATACGGAATGATCAACCTGGCACTGTTTCATTCCAAACTTCTTCACCACTTCACTAAATCTCCCAAACCATGCACGGGGAGATTGTTAAGTCCATAAATAGCCTTCTTAAGTCTACAGACCTTCTCACCCTCCCCCTGAGCAACAAACCCTGCTGGTTGCTCCATGTACACCTCCTCAAGAAGATCACCATGTAAAAAGGCATTCTTGATGTCAAGTTGAAACAAGGGCCAATCAAACATAGCAGCAAGAGAAACTAGAACACGAACTGACCCAATTTTGGCAACCGGAGAGAAGGTGTCTATGTAATCAATACCATACTGTTGTGAATAACCTTTGGCAACTAACCGAGCTTTTAACCGTTCAACACTTCCATCAGGTAAGTATTTAACCGTGTACACCCACTTACAGCCGACCACATGCTTACCAGGAGGAAGAGTAGTGAGGTTCCACATATGAGTATGAGTCAGGGCCGAGAGTTCTTCCATTGCTTGGTGCCACCCTGGAGAATTGAGGGCTTCCTGTACATCCTTGGGAACAGAGATAAAGGATAACATAGAAACAAACTGTCGATGGGAAGCCGAAATGTGAGATACAGAAACAAAATTGGAAATGGGATGGAAAGTGCAACTGCGTTTACCTTTCCGCAAAGCAATAAGAAGATCAAGGTCAGAACTGGGAGTTGGGGCTGGGGTGGGATCAACTGCCGGATCTGTCGACGGTGACGAAGCTAGGGGAGGAGTCGATGCCTGACGATGTGTATACACTTGCCGGATAGGTGGTCCTCTCTCAGGTAGCTGCACTGGAGGCAAAGACTGGGTCACGATCGGAACAAGAGGAACGGGATCCTCAATAGGAACTGGAAGAGGGGGTGATGGCAACAGAGGAGAAGAAGTATCCGACCTAGAGAAGAACTCTCAGCCCTCCATGGTGATCTAATACGGGTCCCACGTATGAGTACGACCAAACTTCCTTGGTTGTATCTAAAAACATGAAGTTCACACTAATTTTGGACTCCATGTTGTTCCATAGCCAAGTCATAATTTGAGCATCCTCCTGCTCCCATTCATCATATCCCAGAGAATTAATTGAGGGTTTATGTTCCCTCACATGTTTCACTTTCTTTTTGGCTTTCAAGAAAACTTCAACGGACTTAGACCAAGGGACATAATTCTCACCATTCAGTTCTATAGAGGTCATCTGCACATTCAGATAATCAGAAGGCACCATCACACTTGATTTGTATTTACTGTTGTCTCCCATGACTGCACAAAAAAAAACAGTGGGAGGTTGTACCGCTAAATTGTTACTCTACTGCCCTAATAAATCACCACACTTCACACGAATGATTGAACACCACTAGGGTTCCAAGTACCAGGTTTCAGCAATAATATTCACAACTGTTCACCACTTTTAGCAACAACACTACTATTGTCGTTTACTGTCAGCACTAGAAACCCTCACAGCACACCTCACGAATAATATTTTCAGTTCTGCAACATATAAAAGAAACTTGCTACATACCACAACTTAGTTCGAAGATCATGTACCTGTCGAGTAGAGGGTACCAAGTCTGCACTATCACCATCACAAAATCAAACCTCTTCGAATTGCGAGTAGAGGGTTTTCTACCAACCACACGAAACCACAACGACTGCACTCATTAGAGGCATGGAAACCCCCAAAAGGAGAAAACGACCAGTCATTTTCTTCCTTTCTAGAAAACTCTCTAAATATCAATGAGAATTTTGCAAAACCCTAGAGAGGAACGTGCAGAACAGAGAGAAAAGGAGACAACTGATTTGAACTGATTAACCAAGCTCTGATACCATGATAAAACTCAGATTAGATGTTCGTATATGTTCAGATCAGAAGAAAGAGAAGGAAAAGAGAGAGAGAAGAAGGAGAAAGAGAAGAAAAAGGAGAAAAGTCACAGCCGAACTAGAGAGAAAAATCTCGAAACCTCTAGTCGGCCCTTCTTTTATTTATACTCTTCTAAGATATACAAGGATTACCATTGAGTGAGGGCCACATCAGCAGAGCAATACATATATAACTAAACATAAAAGGACTGTACTACCCTTGTACAGCCGACTCTAACACCTAGCTAGACCATCTGCCAGTGCATTAGCACTTCTCGCTATCCATGTACAACGGATTTCAATATCCTTGGTGAGCCACTTGAATTTCCTCTTTTCATTGCTGTATTTCCAGAGCGTAGAACTGTCCTCTTTTAGCCAATTTACTACAATTTCATAATCACTTTCTATGATCAATTTTTTAAAGTTCATTTCCTTGGCCCGTTGAATCCCTTCAAGAGCTCCTAGGATCTCATCCCTCAAGGAATCTCCCACCCCAATTGGACCAGAATACATAGCTAACAGGTTCCCATTTTCATCCCTTATCACTCCCCCAACTCCAGAGGGCCCTGGATTACCATGTTGCTGCCATTAAAATTCAGTTTGGTAAACCCATGAGGTGGAGGTGTCCAATAGGAATTTGAGGTCTTCTTGATTGAGCCCAACTCCGCAAATAGTCCAACACACTGTAGCCCTACCACATCTCCACATGATCTTGGCCCTTTTGGTTGACCAGTTAGGCATGGAAGTAAATAAGCTTTGCACATCCGAAGGGGGAGTCCAACCATTCCCAAATGACTTTAACAAACTGGCAAGAAATTAATGAGTGATATCCGGACTCACCATTAGATTTACAAAGAACACACTAATGAGGAGACAAGCAACTATTGGGTCTTTTTCTTTGAAGTAGATCCCCTATATTAACTCTTTCCAGAAAGGCTTCCCAACAGAAGCACCCAACCTTTGGAGGAATAGGTCGACACCACACTTCTTTAATAGGAAAAGATAGTCCAACAGGAGAAAGGGATAAAAGGGCCTTGAAGAAAGAGGCACAGGAGTAGGAACCCGAGGGAGTGATGTCCAGATTCTACTATCTGACTTCGATGGCTCATGAAGACCCCTTCAAGAATGGATAATAAGGCTGAAATGCAGGCTAACTCTATGTCCCTGACATCTCTTCTCAAGTTCAAATTCCAACCGAATCCAGAAGGTGAATTAGAAGGAACAAGAAAGGAGGAAATTGGTTCATTTTTAAGGGTAGAGATAGCAAAGAGGCCTGGACA